ACCACAGAGAAGAATGGCTGGGTCCCTGCCCTTCAGAAGGAAAAGGCCCCTCAGGGTGTGGTGAGGTACAATGGGGGGCTCAGGTGGACAGCATGCTCAGGGGACGCCTGTCTGAGGAGCTGACCTGGGGTATGTTCAGTCCTTAGGGTGAGAAGAGACCAGGATGTAGGAAGCAGACCAGAACGTATTCCAGAAGGCAGGACCAGCACATGCCAAGGCCCTGGGGCAGGAAAGTGCTCTCAGCAGCGTCTCAGAGTTGAAACGGCAGTCAGCTGAGGGCAGAGGCTGGCGGGCAATGGCAAAGCCAGAGGCTGGTGACTTAACTAAGCTCTTGGCTCTGCCAGTCCAGGAGCAGCCCAAGATGGGGGCAGGGGCGGTCGGGAGAGGAGGCCATCTCCAGGGCCTGGACCAGAGTTGGGAGTTCATAAGCAGTCGCTGAGTATGGCTGGATTAATTTACTGTGGGCTGGCTGCTGACCCAGGCAGGGTGGAGGGAGTGGGGGGTGGGGTGGGGGAAGGCTTTGCTTTGGCAATGACCACAGCCTGGAGAGGCAGCCACCCTGGCTGGGATGCCCGATGCCTCCACTGATGGCTTCAGAGGAGGCCCAGTTAGCAGGCATCAATTCCCAGCCGTCCACCAAGCCCCTACCCCACCACCAGGACTTTGAGAAGCAGCTGATGCCACTGTCTCCACGGCCTCTCCCGGGGCTGCTCTGCACATTCTAAGGTGGACACTGCAGGTGTAGCCGCACTCCAGAGGCCGCCAAGCACAGCCTGCCTGGGCTTCTCCTTGCCTTTCTCATCGCTTTGCGTCTCACCAATCTGGGCTTCCAGGAAGGATGAGGAAAACATTTACCCTGAGGCAAAGTGTCCCAGGGAGGCAGGGGGAGGATCCGCAGACAGAGAACGCGGTTGGATGACACAGGTTGAGGTCCCTGAACGCGGGGCCTGTGACCTTTGTACCCTTACAACATCCAGTGGGGCCTGCCAGTTGGGAAACCACAATCAGGTCCTCGGTTGCAGAACAAGGCAGTGGCCACCACGGGCAGGTCCCTCCCAGCTGCTCAGCCACTGGAGGGAGGCACCAATACAACTTTCCAGAAAGGAACCATCATGCTAAGCCAGGACCTGACTTAGCACATGGTCACTTTGAACACTACGGGGTGCCAATAGACTCTAGGGTTTACAGAGAAATTAAAGCAGGGAGCAGAAACCTAAGGAAACAAATATATTCCTATGAGGAACTCGGAGGGTTTGTTGATGAAACTGCAGCTGACCAAGACTCCTCACAGGGTCCCACTGGACACCTGAGACCTCCAAGTGTCCCTCTGGGATTTGGCGCGGCAGGGGGAGGATAGGGGGCACATTCGCCCCTCAGTGGGGTCATCCCCACGCTCCAGGACCGCGCACCTCGAGGTCTGCACCTGCCCCGCCTCGCGCACTGGTCCCAGCCCAGCCTCCCACCCCGCGCCCGCCCAGCGGCTCACGTGGCTGTTGGTGGAGAAGACTCCGTAGGGCAGGTTATGGATGGAGAAGTCGCACTCCGGGGCCACCGGGATGAACGACATGGCAGCGAGCGAGGCACAGAGGTAGGTGCTAGGCAGGGCTGGAAAGCGCTCTCAGGCACAGCTGAGGCTTTGCAGTTGCAAGGTCCGCCAGGCCCAGGCCAAGCCCCGCCCCTCTCGGCCCACGCCCCGCCCCCAGAGCCGTGCCCCGCCCCTCTCGGCCCACGCCACACCACCCAGGCCGGTAGGCTCGGGTTCCGCCCACGGGTCCACCCACCCTCGGGGAACGCTCCGCCCCCTCCGGCCCCGACTCCTCCTCTAATCCCGCCCTCAGCGGGTCTCGCCACGTCCTCTGGCCCCGCCCCCTCCTCGAGTGTGGCCCCTCCGTCACTCCTCCGAGAGTCCCTCCCCGGCCCCGCCCCCTCAATGCTCGTCACGTCCCCAGTCCCGCTCCTCGTCCAATCCCCGCCACGCTTTGCTCGAGGGCCCCGCCCCTCGTCTGGCCCCAGTCCTGCTACACCAGCTGGTTTTCCTGCTGGCAGCCAGTAGCTCCTCAGCTGAAAAGAGAGCTGTCCAGAGAGCGTCAGCCCTGCCCCTTGTGGACGGTGTACGGAGAATTCATATTTTTCAATTCATAATTTTTGTAAAATGTCACTCCCCGGCTAATTCCACGTGACCGGTTTACAATGACCTCCGTGCTTCAATTTTCTTTCTATTGACGATGACAGGATAAGGTGCTGCCTCCCCCCAGATGCGCAGTGTGGGTGCGGGTATAGAAAGGAGAGAAAGCAACGGTAAAGACAAACAGGAAAAAAGGGACGGAGGCAGGATCCCAGGGACTTGAGCCTTCCTCCACTGCTTCCCCAGGCACATCAGCAGGGAGCTGGAGGGGAGGTGGAGCAGCAGCTGCTTAGGTGAAGGCCTAGCCCACAGTGGATCTCTTTAAAACTCACTTAAAAATCTAAAAAAATTAAATCTTTTTAAAAGTCATGGTAGAATACCAGTCTAGTAAAAAAAAGTCACATTGTATCCCATGAATATGCATAATTAGTATATTAAATAAGTTTTAATTTTTAAAAGTATAATGCATAAAAACATTAGAAAGCTTTTTTTTCCCCCAAAGGATGACTTTGGAAAATTCCTTAGATTGCTCTGAGATTAGACATACTTTGGGTAATATGGGCAATATTAGCTTTTCCAACTCACGAACAAGAGCTAACTTCACATTTATTTCTATCTTTTTCGACTCCTTTCAGCAACATTTCTTAGTTTTCAGTTTACCTCCTTGATTTAAACTTATTCGCAGTTTAATCTTATTCAATTTCCTATCCAGCTCCCTGCTTGTGGCCTGGGAAAGCAGTTGAGGACGGCCCAAAGCCTTGGGACCCTGCACCTGCATGGGAGACCCAGAAGTTCCTGGCTCCTGGCTTTGCCCAGCCCAAATCCAGCCACTGCGGCCACTTGGGAAGTGAACCAGTGGATAGATCTTTCTCTCCTTCTCTTTGTAAACCTGACTTTGCAATAAAAATCTTAAAAGCAAAAACTTATTCCCAAGTTTTGATCCTTTGTCTAGCAATCCTGTTTTCCCTCTTAGAAGATAATTACATGACTTATATAACAGATAAAGGCCCATGATTTGTTTCTCTTTGTGAAAATTTGCACACTAAGGAACTGGTTCATTTCCTTTAGTCATCCAAGATTTGGGCCTTGAATTGTTCATAAAGTTCCTTAAATTCCTCCTCTGCCCATAGTGTCAGCAGTGATGTCCCTTTAATTTCTGCTTGCCCTCTTTAACATTAGGGCCATCCCTTTGGGACTCCAAGAGGCTGCCCCCTATGAGGCTTCCAGGTGCTAAGATTTTTCACTGGTGAGCTTCCACCCATCTCATCTCCATATTCCTGGTTTTCTGTTCCACTGGCCCTCTGGATTAAAGAGAAGATCTTCCGTCCAATGGTTCACTCCCCAAGTGACAACACGGCAACAGTCGGTACCGTGATGATCTGGAGCCAGGAACCCAAAGCTTCTTTTGGGTTTCCCATGCGGGTGCAGGGTCCCAAGGCTTTGGGCCGTCCTCGACTGCTTTCCCAGGCCACAAGCAGGGAGCTGGATGGGAAGTGGAGCAGCCAGGACACGAACCAATGACCATATGGGATACTAGTGTTTGTAGGGCGAGGACTTCAGCCACTAAGCTTTCACACTGGGCCCTTATTTTATCTTTTTAAAAAGACTTACTTGAACGGCAGAGTGACAAATTTTTCTGTTGGAAAAAAAAATTATTTACTTGATAACCAATCCAGTCTCCCTCTACAACTGATGCTTCCCTGGGTCTACGTCAAGAGTAAGCCAGCCAGGAGCTGGACATCAAAATCAAAGCGATTTGGGCTGTGGCTGCCCCAACCAGCTGTGGAAGCATCAGGATTAATTCCCATTCCAACTGAAAAAATAATTATTATTTTTGTTCCTATTTGAGATCATCCACGTGCTCCTTAAAACGCCAGATGGGCCAGCTCGAAGCCAGGAGCACCCGGGTCTGCATCTCCCACGCGGGTGAGAGGCACTCCACTCCATGAGTCATTTGGGTAAAGAACCAACAGATGTCTCTGTCCACTTTTCTAGCTCTGCCTTTCAAGTAAGTCAAAACTAACAAATCCTGGGGTGTCTTTTTTTAAAAGAGAAGGTGGTAAAACAAGCTAGAGCTAAGTTTCCATGAAAATGTGCAGCTGGCATAACTTAAAGCAATGATAATTTTCTACACATGATCTCATACATTGCTGGCATTAATGGTAAGAAGTTAAATACTTTGGGAAATTTACTAACTTTTAAGAAAACTCTTTAGTAATTAAAACTCATCCCATTTGAAAGCTTAGAGTTTTGCTTGGGAAAACATGAGCTTAAGTAAATCTCTTTTGCACTTCTCTAAATTATCCAGCATTTTCTTTAAGTCATACATAGATGTTAAAATTCTTATTAAACACCATTTGAATCTGAGTGAGATCTCCGTAAGTTCGTTCATTTTAATCTGTTGATGCCATCACTTAAATTTATAGACTTTAATATTACACACTCCCTATTAAGTAAGGAAATAGCTCCCAACTGAGAAACTTGTGCTGTCAAGTACAGCCTGGGTACATTTCATCTGGCAGTCTGGAAACCACAGGGCACCGTGGGCCTGTGAAGGGCTTTCCATCTAGAGTTTCCAACTGCCCACTGCTCAAATTATTACGCTCTTTCACTTTCTCTAATCCTACTGGAAAAAGGAGCTCCCATTAGATGTGAATCAATGTGACAGTGCACAACAGCAGAACAGGCAGGGCCAGGCGAGTGACAAAGATCTTGGCTTTGAAGAAATGTGGGATGGGCCCGGTTCACAGGGAGATGACAGCGAATGCACCTCAGAGGAGCCACAAGGGTCCTGTTCTCCCACATTTTAGGAAGACTGAAAAACAAAGTTACTCCTAGTAATGAAAGTTAAAAAAAAATACTACAAGGGAGCATCCTGGTTTTCCTTTTTATTTAATCAAAGACTGGTGGATAAACATAAATACAGCACAATTACTTCAGATCATTCTTCATATCATATACACACAAACCAACGAGCGTTAAGTGGAAAGAATCCTACCGCTAGCAATGAAATGCACACAGCTTTTCCTTCCTTTGCTCAAAAAAAAAAAAAAACCAAAAAAAAAAACAAAAACAAAACCCAAACTTTTTTTTAAACGCATAAACTAACAATCTCATCATACATACTCATCTCTTGTGACAAATGATTCAGACATAAATAGTGGGTGCAAAGAAACTACCAGCTAACACATGTATAACCTTTGTTAATGAGAGAACAGAAGCAGCCATAATGATTAAGATACATTCAGTTACTGGTAACTAGCTGTGCCCTAAAGCGCACCATCAAAAGAGAATCGTGCTGCAAGAGAAAAGCTATATATACATACACAACAAGAAATGAACTGCAAGAGGAACGCATGCGTGTTTAATACTGGAAAAAAAATCACAGCCCTCCAAAATTTCTCCACATTTGTTATAAAAGCCCTCTGCTCTCAACTAAAATTAAAATGATCTTAAAAGGATAATACTTGTAAAGTTTTAAGTATTTTCAGCCACAGAAACTGCAATGGAAATAAATGTTCAGAGTCATTTTCAAAACAACAACAAAAATCTATTCTTCTGATGACATGCATGATTAAAAGGTCTATGCAAGATACATTGCTCTACATTCCCAATGACTAGGAAAAAAAAAACCTCAAGTCAATTTTTAGTTTGCAGATGGTCAAAGGATTTTGTATTCCAGCAGGAGTTCAAATCTTCTGGATCTTTTCACCAACGACGACTGGATTTTCTTTTCTGATTTTCTCAGCAGCATCAGCTTTGTAATTGTAAGAGCAATTGTGTACATCTGAGTAGCGATGTACACCACAGTAAACATTTCCACACCGGCATTCAAACCCTGAAAACGGATTGACACACAGACATGAGTTCGGTCAAGGGCAAGGTATTCAGTTGACTGGCATAAGTAATGCTGGGTGCGCCCAGCGTTGAGGGCAAGCTTCTAGAGAGTCACTCCCAGTACACAATGGCCTAAGCCACATTCTCAGAGCTCACTGGTCAAGGACTTCCATTCCTGCTCCTCTCTCCAAATACACATTGTACCAGAACGAGCCCAGCCATTTCCCTGAGTTTGAGTTCTTCAACTGGGAAACAGCCACAGCCACTTCCTATCACAAACAGGTGTTGTTAGATTGGAAGTGTGAGACTTTCTTCAAATTTAAACACTGCCAAGGCCTGCAGCTGGAAGGCTAAATCCCCATGAAGAAGGATGCAGCCGAGCCTGTGTAAGAACTGTTACCACACAGAGTGCATGCTTGCTTTTCCGTGCACCACACTTTGGCTGAGTGACTAAGGACGTGGATCTAGAGTTAGGTTATGCAAGCACCAATCTACTTGCTAGTGTGGGAAAATTATTTAGCCTGAGAGCCAGTCTCTGCGTCTGTAGTTCTGGAATCATAGGTCAGTACAAAGATTAAATGAAGAATGTACTAAGTGTTTAGCACTGTATAAACACACAATAAGTGCTATGTAACTTTACGCAAATGCTCACAGAACTGAAGCCAAAACGGGGAAATAGCAGCTACAGGAAAGCTCTTTATGGTGATGCCAACCAGGATGGCCATGTGCCCCATCTGACTCCAGGCTCCTGTGGAGGCTGACCCTCTGAGGCAGCAGCGATGATTCAAGCTGCTAGGTCCCTGCAACTGCTGAGTTCTTGGCTCCTACTGGTCACTGCAGGAATTTGGGAAGTGAACTTGCAGGTTGGAGCTCTCTGTCTTTCGAATAAATACAACAACAACAACTACAACAACAAGGACCAGCATGCCCCAAATTAGGATTTTGCTGTATCATGAAACTGCTGGAAATGGAACCCAGGAATCAGCATTTTAAACACTGACATCTGACCTTAAGTTCCTTTACCACATTTCTTTTAGTTCAGCAACATATACTGAAAGTTCATAATGAAAGAGGACTGCAGCTCACAGTAACACTAGATGAGTCCCATGTAGGACAGACTGGGTGGAGATCACTCACCCCTGTCATCACAAAGTCTGAGAGTTTAGGAAGACCATATTAAATGTTTAAGATGTCTTATTTACTCAAGCTTACATATTTTCATAAAATATACCTTTAAGAAGATATGGGTCAGCATATTTGATAACAGAATCAAGGTCTTTATTGCCAACCCTTTTAGTAAGAAATGACCACTCTACCACTCTAAGGCACAATTTTGCGCATTCTTACCCATTCTTTTCTTCCATTACCAAAATGTTTATGACACATACTCAGCAAAACACCTGGCACGTGATGAACAGCAAACATGAACTCTGTCACCCACGTGCTGTCTGCTCATCACCCCCACCTGGCTCGAGGCCTCAGCTCCATCCCACCCGCGAGATCCCAAAGGTGCAGTCTTCTCCACTTTCTCGGAGCTTCTGTCCCAGCTATTCTTCCTGCTTGAGAGCCCCATTAGTTACAGATCCTCAGAGTCATTCAGGGCTCAGCTTGGACATCTGTCTACCAGGCCTGCTCCATGCACTGCATCCATTGTTTCCAAGCCCCTTTCTCCCTCTCTCCCCAACACCACCAACCTAGAGCTGGGCGGGAGCAGTCAACATGGGCACAGTGACGGGGCAGCACTCCACCTGGGAGGCAGGCGTGACCCTCTGGCCCTCCAGGACCTGGCACACTATCCTTGCTTTTTCAAATACTGACAAGCTCTGCTGAAAACAACTTTTAATAGAGAAACTATTCATTTCTCCAGAGGCATATAATTAATACTATTTTTATTTAACAAACTCCAGAAGCTGAAGTGTATCCACCCCTTTAATTCTTCTAGGAACAAAAACAGTCCTGATTGAAGGTAGCACCATGATTTTAAGACATCACCTTAATGTGAAGCCACCGACAGAGGCCCTTACCAGTAAGTCCCACTTTCTTTCTGCACATGAAACAGCGATTCTTTTTTTGTTTTGGTTTTTCAAGAGACTTGCTTTGCTCTTCAGATGGTTGCTGTGCTGCATCTGATACCGAAGCTGATAAAAACAGGAAGGCAGGAAAGTTTAATTACTCAGAGGACAACTGAAGACAACTGGCTGTTTATCAGCAGGAGAAAGGTGTTCACATTAAATCACAAAATTGTTTATCAAGCACACTGCTTTTTGGTTCAGCACATGACTATGGCGTCCACAGATGACCAACCAGCGCAGGCAGGACCAGCTTGTTACAGTGACTCTTAAGGTTGACCACAGACTGTGACTACCTGACCAAGACGGCACCTATTGAAGTACCCTTAGGGAACCCGACCAGAGGCCCAACAGAAGGACCAGGTGTAAATCCCATCATGTTGCAAAAAAATCACAGCCATGTGGACTCCTTAGAACAAAGGGAAAAATCAAATGTTCTCAGGAACACCAAGTTTGTCTAAAGCCCCAGAATATTTCACATCAAACATGTAACATGCTAGGAATAAGGCAAATCCATGCAAAGAAATGTAAATATGTTCAAGCTAAGATATGAAATAGATGTGTTTCTGTACTGAAGCCAGGGTTGGATTAGGTCACACAATCCTAACCGGTATGCTCCGCTCCTTCCCCTAACCATGCTGGCCCCAGGAACGTATACACATGACCTTGGGATGTGACATTCTACAACAATGAGTGTCCACCCTGGCTGTCAGGGGATACATCATGCACCTTCACTCTCGTCGGTCACAAACCCTCCAAATGGCTTCCCTATTTCTCATGTGGCCTAGGTCCTCTCCTCATTTGAGTTTCCAGATCAAGTACCCCTCTTGGTCTCGATTCTCTGCAGGTTCGTCCCTCTGACTGGCAACCTTTACCAAATGCTGTGCATACTGCAATAACCCCTCTCTGACTGCAATAACCCGTGGCATCTGGTCGTCTGCCTTCAGTGAACTGTCAGGAACACTGAGCCTCGGGTCTCCTCACCCTTCTCCGTAGCACCCCTCCCCACTCCCCAGGTACACACCAGGTTTTAGCCTAACTAAGTGCAAGTACTTTTGGTACCTCTGGACACAGCAACCTCCTCTCACCCCTGGAATCTGGGCAGGTGTCCCTTCCTCACACCTGCCATCCTGCTGGCTCCCCCATAACCTGAGGTTCGGGCCCTCCCTCGGTGTGCTCTATGGCACTCCTCACACTACCATCACACCCAGTTTCACAATAGGGCAAGAACCTGTTCTACTGATCCCTGTTACCAGTGCCTGCTACCAAAGAGGGCACTCACCAAACACCTGCTGTAAGGCACCTGACCCACTGTATTTCCATGCCCTTCCCAGACCTGCTGGCAGCCAGGGGAGGAAATACACAGCACACTTGCTGCAGATAGCTCTAATGTGCTGTAGCTAAGACTGTTTCCTGATCACAGCAAAACATGACAAAGGCACAACACCAGACTCTAACAGGTAAATATGCACTAGCAAAGATTACTCCACCCTGACAGGGGAGGCCAGACGGGAGACAATTCCTGTATCCAAAACATTTTAATTTTGAAACAGAACCACAAGCACCTGAAACCTTATTTCCAATAAAAAGATATTCCTGGGATGTCCGTATCATGAGGGCAGGGTCGAATGCTGCTGTGTTATCTGCAGCCCCCAGAGCTGCTCCACGCAGGCGGGGTACCTGTTCAGAGCTCAGAGGAACTCGCCTTGCGGTCAGGGATGCATTCATTCAGTGTACTGCCCCTAAAATCTAGGACCTATATAAAGCTATCTACCCTGTTCTCCAAAGACAGCCTGTGACTCAAATATATCCGCAGAGAGAATGCTTCACTGGCAGGAACATATGCATGTAAGCAAGTGTGCGCGCACACAGACACAGACACATACACACAGAGAACTGGCTTAACTACTGAGACACAAACCCCGAATGGCATCTGCAAATGGACAAACTGCAAACACATTCATTGGCTACGCACACAAATGCTATCTTATATCCTGAAAAACTGATACTTCAGTTAAGCCGAATTCCTGTCTGAGGCAGGTGATTTCTTTTAACTGAAGAAAATACACCATTTTAAAAAACTAAGCTAGAGATCAAATCGGGAGACAAGAAAGGTCAATAACATCCCCAGGAGATCGAGAGGAAGCCATGACTGAGAGCCTGAAGGCAAACAGCAGGTGAGCCTCTGCTTAGGAGGACACGGTAACGACCTAAGTCCATGGCTACCAGACACTACTCTGCTTCCTTAGTTTGCACGTTAGACTCAAGAATAAAGAATGCCTTAGCAAACTCGAGCTAAGAACAAGCCATTCCTTAGAAGGGCTATGCAGTGACCCAAGGACCACAACCTCACTGCAGCCACAGCCACAACAGGGCAGCTCCTGAGAGCCAGCTGTGGCGCATGTGCTAAGAACTGGAACAACACTGCATGTAAGCATGGGGGGGAGATGGCCACCAGGGCTCCCCACGGGCCTGTGTGAGAGCAACAGGACCATGAAGTGAACAGTGCAGTACTGGCTGCCTCAGCTGTAGATGAAACACGGGCATCTCCTTCCAGGTTCACTCCCCTGTGCACCGTGAAGAAGCACCGTGCAGGTGCAATCAACCACCCACATCAAGGGCCATAATCAAGAGCATTCAGGCCCTGTGCTCTAGGTCCCGGAAAAGAAAAAGAGCAAAATGGATACAACACAACAACAGGTGCAGACAACTAGCCAGCACCACCTCAGACTAGGGACATATTCACATACACAGTGAGAAGTGGCATAAGATGGCATCAGTAGGTGACGCCAACAGGACCTGAGCATCAACTGGTCTTAGTAGTGAATGCAATATACTTATAATACTGCTATAGGATGAGGTCCTTCAAAGAGTGCAAGAAAATGTGTGTTATGCAAAAATCAAACACAGATCTCAAAGGTTTGTTTGTTCTTTTTTTTTTTTTAAGATTTAATTTTTATTTGAAAGGCAGAGTTACAGACAGGAGAGACAGAGAGAAAGTAAATCTTCAATCTGTTGGCTCACTGCCCAAACGGCTGCAATAGCTGGGTTAGCAGCGGATAATGATCCAGGTCCATGGGTCCCTGCACCCATGTGGGAGACCTGGAAGAGGCTCCCGGGTTCAGGGACCCATGGACCTGGATCATTATCCGCTGCTAACCCAGTTGCATTACCAGGGAGTCGGATTAGAAGTGGAGCAGCCATGGGCCCAGCGCAGTAGCCTAGCAGCTAAAGCCCTCATCTTGAATGTGCCGGGATCCCATATAGGCATCAGTTTCAGTTTTTTGATTATGCCACGAAAATTCCGGCAGAAGGAAAAGAACAAAACTATCTAGAGAAAATGAAAAGCACCTGAAATCATAATCAAAACCCAAAAGGTTTCTGCATAGAAATGAATTGGCTAAGTTTTACTGTATGATATGGAAAGCAGTTCAGATAGTCTGAATTGTGTTATTTGCAGGTCTATGCCATCAACGTAACTTATTACAACATGTTTCAATTTCCTGAGCTGAGGATCTTGGACTACTAGATGGTTTGGGAACAAGCCTGCGCCCTCATTTATAACCTCAAGTACAGATGAGCCTTTAGTCACAATGCATGCTGTTAGAAACTCCTTTGTAGGCCTGGCACAGTAGCCTAGCAGTTAAGTCTTCGCCTTGAACGCGCCAGGATCTCATTCGGCGCTAGTTCTAATCCTGGCAGCCCTGCTTCTTATCCAGCTCCCAGCTTGTGATCTGGGAAAGCAGTCAAGGATGGCCCAATGCCTTGGGACCCTGCAATCACATAGGAGACCCAGATGAAGCTCCTGGCTCCTGGCTTTGGACTGGCTCAGCTCTGGCCGTTGCGCTCACTTAGGCAGCGAATCATCGGACAGAAGATCTTCCTCTCTGTCTCTCTTCCTCTCTGTATATCTAACTTTACAATAAGCATTAATACATCTTAAAAAAAAAAAAAAAAAAGTGGAGCAGCCAGGACTCAAACCAGTGCCCATAGGGGATGCCAGCACCAGCAGCAGAAGTCTAGCCTACTACTCCACAGTGCCAGGTCCTCAAAGTGATTTAAGTTGCATCTTCCACCACATGTGGTGAAACAGCTTATGTGTAGCCCTTCTCCACCGCCTCAGGAAGGCACCTAGACACCTGCAGGCTGTGTCCGCTTCTGCTCACGCAGCTGAGCAGGGCCAGCTGATCAGAGTGAACAGGCCCTCCCTGAAGGAAGGCTGTGTTCTCACAGTGGCTCACAGGGACAAAGGGCCTAACTGTACCAAAGGGGGCATGAGCTGAATAAACTAAAACACAAAAACCCTACACATTCAAGGAAAAAAGAAAAAAAAAAAACAGGCTTGTATTAGAAGCAGCAATGGAAAGACTTGAGAATCATGAATTTATTTTATATTTTTCAGCAATCATGTTAGAAACCCAAGTGGGTAATACCAGCACTTTAGAAACTTAATGAATGTTAAGTACTGGCTATTTTACATTGGGAGGAGCACTAAGTTTTCAACACCCACTTGGTGTGCTGTATTTGCAGTGCGCCCACTACGTAAGGACACACCAAAACCTGGCGTCTGGGCTAGCTGCACCTCACGAGGCCATGCTGGACACAGTGACCCTGCAGACTGATGTCAGGTTCTGTGAGCCCCTTATGCTAATCTGCCCACAACACAAGGCTGCCATTTAAAAAGGCAAAACCAACCAAATGCCCTACATTGACTCTGGCCGTGGTTTCCCATTCTCTGGTTCCACAAGACCCCTCCTGCTCTAGTTACAATGAGCCATTGGCCCAGATGGCCATTTCAATGAACGGCCAGGTCACTAACTCCCAACCTTCACGTTTCCCTGCCTGTTACACCTTCACCAGCTTCCCCTGCAACAAAAGCCATCTTCAATCTCTTTTTCGGGGTGGTGGAATGGGACAAAAGACAACACTGTCACATGTTCGTCTAACCACATGTCTCAAACTAAACACATTTTAAACCTCAATGCTATAACTAAGTGCATAACTTATCTCAGTGACAAATTGCAACTACTATCCAACTTGTCAACATTTTCTAGAGTACTTCAGAGCAAAGCTTTGTAAAGCATCAATCAATCCCTTCTGCCCTGGCACCCACGCAGGTACCATGCTTCTTATTCCAAACACCGCACAAAGCTGGCACTGTCCCTATGTGGCCTTTGGTTCCTAGCTCCTCTGCTTACTACTGCTCTCAAGACTCATCCTGCTCGGGGCTGGTGTGTGGCAGCGTGAGCTAAGCTGCAGCTTACAATTTCAGCATGCTTTCTCAAAGTGACAGTTTGATTCCCGGCAGGGTTAGGTCCAATCCAGCGCCCTGCTCACACGCCCAGGGAAAGCAACAGAAGATGGCCCAAGTGCTTGCACTGCTGTCACCCACCAGGGAGACCCAGATGGGATTCTTGGCTGCTAGCCTTGAACGTCCAGCCATGGCGGCCATTTTGGGGAGTGAATCAGCAGATAAGTATCTCTCATCCACACTGTGCCACCTGTCAGACTTTCCTTCCTTCTGTGGTCTGAGCGCAGGGTAGCACTGATGGCCATGTGAGCTGTTCCATTGTTTGGTTCCATGGCTAACGGTGATAGGAACCCTGCAGTTCAAAGCTTTGTGTGCACACAAATGCTGACACTCTGGGAATAACACTGCTGGGTCAGGCAGAGGCAACGGGCACCTGTCAGACTTCTCCTCACCCGCCCCAGTTTATTTTCCCACCAGCAATGCGGAAAGGTTCCAATGCCTCCACATCCTCTACAAGAATTCACAGATTACTGCCACTTTAGTGGCTGTGAAGCAGTATCTCATTATAGCTCTGATTCACATTTCCCTAATGATAATGATGTGGAGTGCTTTTTAATGTGTTAATTGACAACTGGCATTATCTTCCTTGGAGAGTCTTCTATTAAAATCTGTTGCCTATTTCTGCTTTTTTACCGTTGAATTAAAGCCACTTCTTTATACATTTTTATCAAGTGTGTGAATTGTTTTCCATTCTTGACAGTGCTGGTTGAAAGAACATTTTAAATTTGACGTAGTTCAATTTATATTTTTTCTTTGGTTGTTTTTGTTCTTTGGTTGAAACTCCTGCCTAATCCAATATCACAAAAGTTTGACCCATTTTCTTTGTAAAGCCTTACAGCGTTAGTTCTTATCATTTCTGGACTTCTACTTGCATCTTGCTGGTCTGACCATCCTCATGTTAGTACCACACAGTTCCGATGACTCTCTTGAAGCAACATAGGAAACTGGGAAGTGTTAGTTTCTCCAACACTGCTGTTTTGTTTATTCTCACCATTCTTCAAAACCAGAAGGATTCCTACCCCCTCCTCTTTTTTAACCTGTGCAGTTTCCTTCCATCAGTGTTAGGAGACTGCCCCCTGCTGACCCTGAACCACTCAAAGCCGCACCGTGTGAAAGCAGGAGCCCTCAGAATGTTAGTTCACCTGTCTCCCAGGCCAGCAGTCCCGCTCCATAGGCTCTGCAGTAACTCGGCTGCCCAGGAAAGCGTTCCACCTCACTGCTCTAACTCCCAGATCCTCACGCAGAGACATCAGAGGACACTGGCTGTGTCTGACCACATGCACTGCACTCTGGTTATCTCAGTAACTTCTACATCCTGTAAGACATGGTTTTTAATTCTCCTTTAAAAATATTAAGGCTCACAGACTACCTAGCAGTGTCAAGACATGAAAACAGAACCTTTAATTATGAATTCCACCGACTGTAAGTTGCACCGACTATTTCTAAGTTACAATACTGAAACGTGACGGAAATGACTGTTATTTTCTAAAGCCAGCTTTTGTGAACCAGAAACTTGAGTTACATTCCTAAGGGACACTGGGTAAGTGAAGTATTGCTATTGCGGTAATTTTTACTAAAAAGTGCAATTAAATGAGAAACACGTTGCAGTATGATAAATTCTGTTAAACAGGAGAAAAATTCTTAGAAACTATGAGTCCAAAATGAAAGCAGCGCCACTCACAGCATAGTATACCTTGGCAGCATAGTATAAGTATTAGCAGGATACCTGCACAGAAAACCTGTTCTTGCTAGCCAATCCTGGCTCAGGCACACAGCTGCTACTCACAGACCCACTTCCATCCGGAACTGTATTCTTAGTAAATCAATTTTCCTTAAGGCAGGAGGCTCAAGGAGCAATAAGGAAGAAAAGATACCCAGGCGGACTGCCAAACCAGTTCATGTTTCCTGGGAACTGAGGAGGGGCTGGACATGCTAACAGGAACTCTCACCTCCACATGCCAGCCCAAGACACACCTCAATCTATCCCTATCCAGTAAGGGAGCTGTAAGTGCATGTGCGTACATGAGTGCATATACACTTATTTATATTTCTGTCTATAATAAAAGAAGGCATTAACAATGTAAGCAAAGACATTTGTTAAAATTAGATCGCTAGCAGATTTTATAGATGGGAAATGAATATTCTCTTAAACTCGGGTGCACAGTATATCTCATTTGTCAAAGATCTTGCTAGACTGAATCATGAATGCCAACTTTTTTAAAGGGTCTTAGAAGTTGATGGTGGTTTAGCCCAAAAACATTCAGCTCACACATGCGAACAGGGTCTATTAATCCTTAGAACTTTGGGCAGTTTCTCCTGCAATGGCATCATGACTACCTTCTGTGTCAATGCACTTGGGCAAGGTGGGGGTACCTACATTGCTGCCAACAAGCCTCGAGGGTGCAGGACCTCAGTCTTTCATCCCACACCAATGACTTTCGAATATCTGGCACAAGACTGGCACATCGCACGTTCGAATGCCTGCGATTTACTGACAATCCCTGAATGAGCACTCTGCACTTTGGGACTTTTTTGCTTTTCCACCCTAGCTACAATCCTGCTTGTGCACATTATCCTTTGTAATCTTCCTGTCTACAGCAATCACCCCTAAATCACTATAACACTGGGAACTCAGACCCTACTCTTGCCTTATCTCCCACATTCAGTGGATACCCCAATCTTTCTTTCTTTCATTCTTTCTTTTTTGCTCTCAGAACAGCCCTCATCTCTTCCCTTCCTTAAATTTTTCTATTGAACTAAAAAATTACTCATTTATGTATTTATGGAGTTCATAATAATAATACACTAGATGGACTAGATTATTAATGCTGGAGACATATGTATTTCTCATGATATGGAAAAACTTACATCCAAATTGTCAAGTTTAATTGTTGGGGGCCTGGCAGCACGGCCTAGCAGCTAAAGTCCTCGCCTTGAATGTGCCAGGATCCCATATGGGCTCCGGTTCCAATCCCGGCAGCTCTACTTCCCATCCAGCTCCCTGCCTGTGGCCTGCGAAAGCAGTCGAGGACAGCCCAATGCTTTGGAACCCTGCACTCGCATGGGAGACCCGGAAGAGGTTCGTGGTTCCTGGCTTTGGATCGGCACAGCACCGGCCATTGTGCTCACTCAGGGAGTGAATCATCAGACGGAAGATCTTCCTCTCTGTCTCTCCTCCTCTCTGTATATCTGACTTTGTAATAAAAATAAATCTTTAAAAAAAAAAAAAGTTTAATTGTTGGGAATGGAATCAAACCAAGGGGGCTAAGTTACTAAAATCTAAAACTTAATGGCCCAAAACCTTGGTGCACCTGCTATGTAAGCAAGAGGGCAAAGGGAAGTCTGGTAAATCAGGCCATTTTGCACATCCTGCCCTGGGCACAAGCACACCCTCCTCGGCCATGGGCTTCTCAGGACAGCAGATTTTTCTCACCTCACACATCATTTTCACCATGGGGAAGATGGACAACTCCTAAAATGCCTCCTTTACCGGGGCTCCCAGTGGGAGAGCCTCACGTGCATTCCTCTTGTCAAACCTTCTCAGACGGCTCTGATCATGAAATAGGGATGTGAAGAACACAAGCAACCCACAGCATGAATGCAAGTGGCCCAGGGTATCAGACACCCTTCACGTCACAGCTGGAGGACCAGGGGTGACAGCCAGCCCAGCAGGTTACCATATCAAAATCAGAGTTAGAGCCCAAAGAAAACAGATTTCCCTCGGGCCAGCAGCTCCACTTGGACGGAGAGGGAGCAGTTTTTGAATTAAACTACCCAAAATAACAGAACAGTGCAATACTCATGCTTACTGAACCGTATTTTTCAAACTAAACATTTTGCATCTTCTATTTATGCTAATTATGCAATTATGCTTAAATTGGAAATGGCTTCCAACATCTCATTAAATACTTGAGGGTACAAAACACTCTGTTCAAAAACAAAGTGGCCAGAATGTAGCCTCCCACACTCCAAGGGCTACACAGTGCTGCAGTGCATGCAGTGCACACCACCGCATCGATACGCACCTTGCAGATCTTCTGTTTCAGGTGCTGCTTTGTCCACAGATGTACTGTCCACTTGGGAAGATGCTACAGATTCTGATAAAAGTGACTGATTTGATACAGGGCTAGAAAACAAAAGTATTTCCATTAAAAAATACACAGAAAATATTAACTAAGTGATATAATAAGAGGTAAATGTATCTATATAGATGATTAAACATGAAAAAGATCATGAAAATGGAGACTAAGCTGAACCAGAAGTTTACTACTTTGAAAACACAGCAGACACGTGACAAGGACGTGCTGACAGAACCCTAATGCAAAGTTGCAGAGCACATTCTGGCACCCCAGATCCTGTCAACTGTGAATCAGAAAAAGAAACCACAGTGTAGAAACACACACATACGCGCTTGTGTTCGTAACAGCAGACTAAAGCAAATATTTCTGCATGCAAAATTTCTAATCGACCTATCTTCAGAGTTAGAAAGAAAAATATACTACACAACAGGTATGTACCTCATATATCATGATATTGAGAGACTCTAAAGCACTCACATTTCCAGGCTGACTAAAATGTGCAGAGCAGAACTAACAAGCTTCAAAAGGACTTCAGGGGAGGGTCAGGGCACATCAAAAGGACAAAGGTCAAGATGTCTGCAAGGGAAACCTAAGGTTTCAGGGAGAAACATCTCTGGCCAAGAAGAAAGCAGCAGAAAACTTCCGGTAACCAGTAAGTAGTGTCAGACAGATCCCATTTTAGACCTGCTAATCCAGAAGTGCTTTCACAAGGTTTCCCTTCATACGGCTCAACAAAAGCAGCACATGTTCATTCCTTATGTCCCACCGGCTCACCCGCTGGCTGCAAGGCCACCCTTACCTTGGCTGCAGAGATGGAGATGGAGAGTCTGCCACCAACTGCACCTCAGGGCCGCTGCCATCTGCGCACTGGGCTGGTAGTGACTCCGACAGGCGACTGGCAGGAGCTGCTGGAACAGGACCCCACCCCGGTCAGTGATGTCATGCTCTGGGCAGGGCAAGGCCTGCTCTAAGGAACCCACCGCTGGCTTGCCATACCGTGCACTAGGCGGAAGTCGCCTTTTGCTGTACAATATGTAGGTTCATTAGTTTTAGCTATACATTTTCCAGTAGTCTTCTAATAAAAATGTCACTCAACTATTTTAGTTGTTTTCCCCATTCTCCCCTGAAGAGTATATTAATTTTAACCAAGAAGGAAACACATATAAATTGTATATATACCCAAATCCTTAAATGCTAGCACTATCTACAAATGAGCTATTTAAAGGTGATTCAGCAGTAAGGCAGACACAGGTTCAGGTTCAGCACACTATGCACTTCTCCCTCCCATTTATAAGGCAGACAGAAAGAGGATGATGTAACTTAAAAGTAACAATTTACATTCATTCAATATTAGTCTTACAATTTCTTGGGAAGTTTCCTTTAAATAGTTCTAGTTTTTGGATCGAACAAAACAAACAAAAAAACAGTAAGAAACACCTCGGATGAAATGAAAAATCTAACATCCTGGACTTAAATCACAGAGAATCTAAACATTAGACACCGACCTCCGTGAGAGTCACCCTACACCAACACCTGCAAAACCCTGCTGTTACACAATTACATGATTCTTTTCACATGACTCCATCCACGACCTCTGACATGGAAAAGCATAAAAAAACCAAAGCGGGGTTGGGCACTGCTGCAGCTGACACACTGTGTGGGCTGCCAGCATCTCACACTGCAGTGCCTGGGTTCTATGGGTTCTACTCCCAGGACTGCTCAGCTAGCTCCCTGCTAAGGCCCATCCTGCAAGGCAGCAGTAACGGCCCTGACAGTGAGGCCCCTAAACTGATTCCAGCTTGGGCGTGGCCTGCCACTGTCCTGGTTACATGGGCATCTGGCCAGTGAGCCAGCACAAAGGACATGTTTCTATTTTTCTCTCTCTGCTTCTCTCATGAGTAAAATAAACAAACCCAGGGGGTGGGAAGACCACGAACCAAATAAAAAAAAGGCTGTATCTTCCCTGATCTGGCTTAACCCACTATACCTGCCTCCAACTGGGTCCGCTGCAGTCCTCTGTGCAGGCACATCTGTATATTCTTTTTTTCAGCTACCCTGCACTCCACAAACACGAGTCAGAACCTCCTGGAAGCCCGCTCTTCCTTACCTTACTGGAGGCAGGCCCCCATTTTAACAAAGTCTGAGCAGGGGTTCACACCACAGCAACCCAATGCAATGGATCTACCCAAAGTTCAACAAGCTGGGACCCAGGACCCTCTTACTCGTCAACATGGGATGCAAAGTGTGGCTGCTTTGAACGTGGTCATGTGAGCACAATGTGGGAACAGGAACTGTGTGTGCGGCATACAGTGGGCCCCAAGTGTATTTCAACTCTGAATACTGCTGTGCCTTAGCAAGATTACTTACCAGGTGGGCTTATTCTACCATTACTACTGTTCTGTCTTTGAAGATGCTCTTTGTAGCACACTGAACACATGCCATTTGTACGAGGGTTTCCATAAAATCCGCAGCCAGTGGAACAAAGCATAGGCACTTGGCTGTGATTTGTTTCTTGAGCCATGTTCCTCTGTTACACACCTGAAAGATGCATTGAATTAGGGAAGAACACAGACACAAGCCTCAATCACATATTATACAAATCTGCCTTTAAAGCCAAGATAAAAATTGACAACTACTCACTCCCACCCCCCTCAAACCACTTCATGTAGCAGTCCCAAGCCTAGGGTTATGAACAAAAGCACACCTCCTAGACTTGTACCTCCAACCTACTCCACACAACCAGGCCTGTTCCTGGGCTTGGCAGTAAAACCAAGTTCTAGAATGCTAAGGAAAGCCCTCAGGGCTCAGTCAGTGTGGACTCCTCTCATAAGGAGAAATATAAATTGCAGTTTTGCTGTATATTATTTAACTTCTAACCACTTATATTTTTGCTCAATATTAAACTTGTATAATTTATCTTGTTTAAAAAGCATTTACCAATATCTGGTGAAAATATAGAGAATTGGGCAGAATGTTAATGTAATGGGAAAGTAGTTCAATCTTGCCAGAAAGTAATTTAGAACCCACTTCAAGAATCCTGCAAAGGTAAGTATTATTCTAGAAGCAGTCACTTCTCTTGGACAGCCCTCTTCAACATAGTAACACAGCATAATCAAAAAATGAATAAGATGTAATAAATACGGGTTGACAAAATGAAAGTCACCCAACTGTAATCAGGGGAATGGATTTCTTTTCAAGCATCCTACACATTAATTGCAAAGCCACAAAGTCATTAAAAACGTTTTAAGAGTACATTTTGGTGAGGAGCTGCTGATAGTGAATGCACACACCATGAACTACACATACACTGTGCTGCCAACTAGGAAGCACTAACAGAACATCTATTAATCATTAAAAAGAGCAGCAAAGGACAGATCCAGGAATGGCAACGCCAACGGCAACTTTTCTCCCCTGATTTATATTTTCCTGAGTTTTCATAAATTCTCTTAAACAGGGCCCAGCATGGTAGCCTAGCAGCTAAAGTCTTCGCCTTAAACGTATTCGGATCCCATATGTGCACTGGTTCTAATACTGGCAGTCCCACTTCCCATCCAGCTCCCTGCTTGTGGCCTGGTAAAGCAGTTGAGGACAGCTCAAAGCCTTGGGACCCTGCACCCATGTGGGAGACCTGGAAGAGGCTCCTGGTTCCTGGCTTTGGATCAGCTCAGCTCTGGCTGTTGCAGCCACTTGGGGAATGAATCAGTGGGCAGAAGATCATCTTCTCTGTCTCTCCTCCTCTTTTTATATGTGACTTTGCAATAAAAATAAATCTTAAAAAAATTCTCTAAAATGAAGATAAAACTTGTCTAACTAGAGGTAAACTTTTTTTTTAGGTGCCTAGATTCATAAAACAAAAGTAAAATGAGCAGGACAGAGGGCTCAGTCCAGGGATGCCGGTGCGGGAGCACCGCAAGCTGCTTCTCCCATACAGCAACTCGCTCGCTGGCATGAACAACATGACAGAAGGCAGTAACAGGCTCTTTCTTATTAAAATACCCTCCTAAGTGAAGGTTACTCCCAAAAGGAAAAAGGGTGGATGTGCAATCGAGAAGAGTCCATGCCCAAAGACGGCACAAGGAGAAAAACGCTTTGCTGCTCAAATTCCCCTGAATTACTAAACTGGGATGGAAAGCATTTACTGCTTACTGTTAACAGATTTTTTTCTTTACCTTATTTTCTTGGAGAAAAGATTTTAAGGGGCCATTTTTGAAAATCCAGAAAGTTAGGGTGTTTGACGTACAAAACAAAGCCTTAGCACCTGTCTTTAAAGGGGTATACCCTAAAACTGTGGGTTTGGGTCCAAGCACCTTTCTTTCCCCAAAAGGCTTGTTTGCGCCCACACCCACAAAGGACAGGAGGACTAATGTTAAGCACACACGCACCCTCCACTCTAGGCTCAGAAGCTCTCTGTACTTCTCCCTGGAATGCTTGGTTTGGGAACCAGGTTACTGCTGCCCATGATAATGCCATGACCAGTGAGCGAAGGAGCCAGGATTTGAGCCAGGCAGTCTGGCTCCAGCACAGCACACTGTTACACCAATGATTCTCTGAGTGTGGTTCACAGGCTCCTTTGAAGCCCAAGCTGTTCTCAGGGTAACATTAATGAGTGCTCCCTCACTGAACACAAGCAGCGGTGGTGGGAAAGCAGCTGGTGCACTGCCAAGGAGCCAAAGTAGGGCAGCAGTACCACATTCCACCACCACGCTCTCCCAGCCCAAGTGCAGAGTTGCACTGAATCCTGCCCCAAACACACATCTCGTCAGCATTTTGTGAGACACTGGGAAGCACACACGAAGCATCTCAGTTACAGAAATATGACTTAAGACAAACTTGTGCACTTGTAGCCTATGGCAGTGTGGCTGTTCAGACTGAGGAACACAGTGGACATTTTCCTGAAAATGAACAGTGTATATCTGTCATTCAGACAACTAAGGACACAGCACTGTCATTCAAGTGAGGGGGAAAAAAGCTCAAGAATGATAAGCACTTTTGATGAGATCAATTCTATCAAGGAGGTATGCTTAGTCAGGGCTTAATGAACATTTCATCTTAACAAATCAAAATAATTCGTACCTTCCAAGTGACCAACGGAAGATGGTACAAAACTAGTCATGAACCAGAGACCTGTTAAGTAAAAGGGCAATGAACTTTAACATGGCAGGATAAACATTTTTAAATGGTTTCGAATCCCACACTGTAACTAAGAAACTACAGCAGGTTCAGTCATAGCCCTGTTTCACTGGCATTCCATAATCAAATGCCAGATTGAGTGCCTGCTGCTCTGCTTCTGATCCAGCTCCCAGTGCTGGTGCCTAGAAAGGCAGCGAAGGATGATAAGAATGCCTTGGCCTCTGTTACCATATGAGACTCAGATGGAGTTTCAGAATCCCAGTTTTGTCCTGGCCCACCCTTGGCCACTACAGCAATTTGGGGAATGGACCAGTAGATGGAAGACCTCTTTCTCTGTTACTCTGCTTTTTGAAATATATAAATAAATCCTAAAAAATGACAATATTTTTCAACATACATATTTTATAAAAACTAATAAACACACACACACACACTACCAATAGTCAAATTTAGGCATAAAATCTTTCGAGACTCCACTGCAATCAAATGTGTACTTTTAGCACAGGCAGTAACAGACATAGATTCTTTGGGAGAAAGATGCATCTCCAAACTCCTTTCCTGTTTACAAACAAAACACACATTTACCCATATTACCCTTCCTAAATGGATGCATAGCATTTATGCACGGAGTTAACATTTTACAGAAGTGGAGGCCAATTAGGAATAAAATGTCTGAACAGATTCTGACAGATTACAGAAAAACTTTGGTTACTCCACCAGTCTAATTAATGATTTTTTTTTTAAAAGACTTATTTTTACTATTTTTTCATTGGAAAGGCAGATATACAGAGAGGAGAGACAGAGAGGAAGATCTTCCATCCGATGATACACTCCCCAAGTGAGCGCAACGGTCGATGCTATGCCGATCCGAAGCCAGGAGCCTCTTCCGGGTCTCCCATGCGGGTGCAGGGTCCCAAAGCTTTGGGCCGTCCTCGACTGCTTTCCCAGGCCACAGGCAGGGAGCTGGAAGGGAAGCGGGGCTGCCGGGATTAGAACCGGCGCCCATATGGGATCCTGGGCGTGCAAGGCGAGGACTTAACCACTTGCGCCACCGCGCCGGGCCCAGTCTAATTAATGATTATCTAATCATGTTGTAAGACAGGAATTGGTGAACTTTCCCCACCAATACTGGCGAACCTTTCATTACACAGGAAGCAGCCACAAACAACCAGAATACTCGATTTCTATGAAAACTCAACAAACACAGTTCAAAGGCACAATGTAATCATCACACTTCTATAGCACAGTACTCACTTTGGAACAATGAGGTTATCAATGTTATTAAAAAGTAACACTAATAATTTCCCAAGCCAAGTTTCCATATGCAGCGAAAAAATTAGCAATGATTCCTTAATTCAAGATGTATAAAGAAAGATTTCACAGGCTACTTAAAAATAACCAACCAGATACAGCTTTGGGACATAAAACTTACCTTTATGTAATGATTAAAAAGACTAAAAACTATGAAAGGGTGATTCTGAGGCTCAGTTTATTACGAGCCAACAACTATTTTTATTGTTTATAACCCAATTTTCTTAAGCTTCCTCCCACAGTTGAAGGAGAGTGTATAATCTGGGAGTGGGAGAGGCCTGGGAGGGAAATAGTGGGCTTCTTCCTCTTGGGTTACCACTTTCACAGGAGGGCATAAAACCAGGAGAGCGGCTGGGGTGGAATGGGGTGTGGGACAGACTGGACTACTGCTACACATACTGGCAAACCAGGGTAGGGGGCGGGCCTGGTGGGGGTTATTGTGGGTCGCTCCAACTAGGCTGCAGCTCCCACTGGTTTATGTGAGGGCCGAGCATGTGCTGGGCTGAACCAGGCTGGATTGCAACACCCATTGGTTCCAGTGGAAGTCGGGAGTGAAAACAGAACCAACTCAGCAATTGCAACCACCAGCAGATCAGGCCATGATGGACTGTGCCAGGCCCTGTACTTGCTAGCACATACAAGAATCTGGTTTGAGAACACCTCAGACAAAGTTTCTTTGGGGATCTCCCCAATCAAAATGCTCGTCTCAGAACCCTAACCATGAAAAGAAAGAAGACAGAACAGGTCAACCAACCACCTCAGCTATATATTGGCAACGAAATACAGGGCAAAGAGACTCTATGATGGACTATGTCAATCAGTGGATTCTTCAAGGACCTCATAGTGCTTAGAGTGGCAAGATTGGCAGTGATTCATAACTGTTGAAATATGAAAACCACTTGAGCAAGAACCTCAGAGCATACCCAATATCCGGGACCTGGGGAGGGTAGGAAATTGGGTGGGCCTTCTCCCTTAATACCCCTCTTTAAACATGAAGGAAACAATATGGAAAAAATAAGTCTTACCCACTTTCCTGTAGCCCTTGAACCTTTTTACCCTAATTAACTTTGTTAAGGTTGTCAAAATATAATAAAAAA